CACACACACAAATAGACACATACACACAGACACACACACAGACATACACACACACAGAGTCATACATACACACACACAGACACACAGATACACACACACAGATACACACACACATAGACACATACACACAGACACAGACATACACACACACAGAGTCATACATACAACAACAACCGCCATTCGCCACTAAGTGGCGGTGACGTCACCACGATGCTTGTGCCAGGCTATGTGCACCCTGAGGCCACGTGAAGTGTCGAACGCCCGCTGGCAGGAGGTCACGGGGCAGACCCAGGTGCCACGGGTCGACTGACTGAGATGAGTGGCTGATGCACCACCTGTGCCCCCTACTGTGCCAACCTGCTGTGCTTTAGCCACCTGGCGCTCCGCTCGTTGTTCTGAGCGTCGCTCCTCCGCCCTCCGTTGTTGTTGGAGGGCGACTGCCTCCAACTGCCCAGTAGCGTCCTTCACGAGCCTCCTCCACAGAGGCCGATCTTGACACCGCTGGTACAAGTCATCGGCAAGTCCACTCAGCTCCACGTCCTCCTGTACCACATCACTCCATCTCTTCTCTAGCCCGTGCCGCGCCCGCTTAGCCCCCTCAATCCGGCCGAACAAAAGGTGTTTCGGCATGAGGTGGCTGGGCATGCGGGCTACATGACCCAGCCATCGCAGCCTTCCCCGCCGGAGCTCACCGATGGGACCTTGCCCAGATCTTTCATAGACACACACACATCAACAGACACACACACACATAGACACACACAAATACACGTACACACAGATACATACAGCTCTGCTAGAGGCTACCTGGGGCAGCTTTGTCTGTGTGTAGGTGCTGCTACTAACAGCACTTGCCCCTACAGCTCTGCTAGAGGCTACCTGGGGCAGCTTTTTCTGTGTGTAGGTGCTGCTCCTAACAGCACTTGCCCCTACAGCTCTGCTAGAGGCTACCTGGGGCAGCTTTGTCTGTCTCTCACCTGTCTGTCCATCCTTCTTGCACGACCAATCAGCACAGACCCCGTAGAACGTCGTCTGGGGTTCGACTCCTCCCACTGCCTTAGCACCGCCCACCCCCTCTCCAGACTCCGCCCCTACCGCCGACTCCTCCCCCTTTGGGTCTCCGGGATCCGCCCCTCCGGCCGACTCTGCCACCGTCATGACTCCAGGCTCCGCCCCTACCGCCGACTCCTCCCATTTAGTGTTTACAGGCTCCGCCCCGCTCGCGGTCTCCGCCCCCTTCGAGTCTCCCGACTCCGCCTCCGTCGCCGACTCCGCCCCCTTCTCATCTCCAGGCTCCGCCCCCTCTTTCTTGACACCTCCCTGAGCAACATCATCATCATCAGCATCATCATCAGCAGCAGCATCATCATCATCATCAGCAGCATCATCATCAACATCAGCAGCATCATCATCAGCAGCATCATCATCATCAGCAGCAGCAGCAGCATCATCATCAACATCAGCATCATCATTATCAGCAGTAGCATCATGATCATCAGCATCATCATCAACGTCGTCGTCATCATCATCGTCATCAGCAGCAGCATCATCATCATCATCGTCAGCAGCATCATCATCGTCAGCAGCATCATCATCGTCAGCAGCATTATCATCATGATGATGATGAGGCCGTGATGGGTGCACACTCACCACTCACTCACCACTCACTCACCACTTACTCACTCACCACTCGCTCACCACTCGCTCACCACTCACTCACCGCTCACTCACGCACCACTCACCACTCGCTCACCACTCACTCACGCTCACTCACCACTCGCTCACCACTCGCTCACCACTCACTCACCACTCACTCACCACTCACTTACCACTCACCACTCACTTACCACTCACTCACTCACCACTCACTCACTCACTCACCACTCACTCACTCACCACTCGCTCACTCACCACTCGCTCACTCACCACTCGCTCGCTCACCACTCACTCGCTTACTCACTCACCACTCACTCACTCACTCACCACTCACTCACCACTCACTCACTCACCACTCGCTCACCACTCATTCACCACTCGCTCACCACTCACTCACCACTCACTCACCACTCACCACTCACTCACCACTTACTCACCACTCACTCACCACTCACTCACTCACCACTCACTCACCACTCACTCACTCACCACTCACTCACTCACCCACCACTCACCCACTCACCACTCACTCACTCACCACTCGCTCACCGCTCACTCACCACTCGCTCACCACTCACTCACTCACTCACCACTCGCTCACCACTCACTCACTCACCACTCGCTCACTGCTCACTCACACTCGCTCACCGCTCGCTCACCGCTCACTCACCGCTCACTCACCACTCACTCACCACTCGCTCACAGCTCACTCACCACTCACTCGCTCACTCACCGCTCGCTCACTCACGGCTCGCTCACCGCTCACTCACCACTCGCTCACCGCTCACTCACCACTCGCTCACCGCTCACTCACCACTCGCTCACTCACCACTCGCTCACTCACCACTCGCTCACCGCTCACTCGCTCACCACTCACTCACCACTCACTCACTCACCACTCACTCACCGCTCGCTCACCCTCACCACTCACTCACCACTCACTCACCCACCACTCACTCACTCACTCACCACTCACTCACTCACCACTCACTCACCGCTCGCTCACCGCTCACTCACTCACTGCGGTGATGGTGGTAGCGGTGAGAACGGCGGCGAGTCTCCGCTCGAACACGGAGCGTGTGGAGGCTGTGATGGGTCCGCACGACACCTCTCACTCACCACTCACTCACCGCTCACTCGCTCACCGCGGTGATGGTGGTAGCGGTAAGTACAGCGGCGAGTCTCCGCTCGAACACGGAGCGTGTGGAGGCTGTGATGGGTCCGCACGACACCGCTCGCTCACTCACCACTCACTCACTCACTCACCACTCACTCACCGCTCACTCACCACTCACTCGCTCACCGCGGTGATGGTGGTAGCGGTAAGAACAGCGGCGAGTCTCCGCTCGAACACGGAGCGTGTGGAAGCTGTGATGGGTCCGCACGCCACCACTCACTCACCACTCCCCACTCACTCACCACTCACTCACCACTCGCTCACCACTCACTCACCGCGGTGATGGTGGTAGCGGTGAGGACGGCGGCGAGTCTCCGCTCGAACACGGAGCGTGTGGAAGCTGTGATGGGTCCGCAAGACACCGCTCACTCACCACTCACTCACCACTCACTCACCACTCACTCACCGCTCGCTCACCCTCACCACTCTCTCACCACTCGCTCACCGCGGTGATGGTGGTAGCGGTAAGGACGGCGGCGAGTCTCCGCTCGAACACGGAGCGTGTGGAGGCCGTGATGGGTCCGCACGCGAGGCCGACGCTGGCACAGAGGCGGCGAAGTTCGGCCGGAGGGAGCGATCGGAGGTGGGCGGACATCGACTCCATGCTGGGACAGAGGTGGGGGGGAGAGTGGTGGGGGGGGGGGAGAGTGGTGGTGGGGGGAGAGTGGTGGAGGAGAGTGGGGGGGGAGAGTGTTAATCTGAGGTCTCTGTGTGTGTGAGTCTATGGGTCTCTGTGTGGTGAGTCTATGGGTCTCTGTGTGGTGAGTCTATGGGTCTCTGTGTGGTGAGTCTATGGGTCTCTGTGTGGTGAGTCTATGGGTCTCTATGTGGTGAGTCTATGGGTCTCTGTGTGGTGAGTCTATGGGTCTCTGTGTGTGTGAGTCTATGGGTCTCTGTGTGGTGAGTCTGTGGGTCCCTGTGTGGTGAGTCTGTGGGTCTCTGTGTGTGTGAGTCTATGGGTCTCTGTATGTGTGTGAGTCTATGGGTCTCTGTGTGAGTCTATGGGTCTCTGTGTGGTAAGTCTGTGGGTCTATGTGTGGTGAGTCTATGGGTCTCTGTGTGAGTCTGTGGGTCTCTGTGGTGAGTCTATGGGTCCCTGTGTGGTGAGTCTATGGGTCTCTTTGTGGTGAGTCTGTGGGTCTCTGTGTGGTGAGTCTATGGGTCTCTGTGTGGTGAGTCTATGGGTCTCTGTGTGGTGAGTCTGTGGGTCTCTGTGTGGTGAGTCTATGGGTCTCTGTGTGAGTCTGTGGGTCTCTGTGTGGTGAATCTGTGGGTCTCTGTGTGAGTCTGTGGGTCTTTGTGTGAGTCTGTGGGTCTCTGTGTGGTGAATCTGTGGGTCTCTGTGTGAGTCTGTGGGTCTTTGTGTGGTGAGTCTGTGGGTCTATGTGTGGTGTGTCTATGGGTCTCTGTGTGGTGAGTCTATGGGTCTATGTGTGGTGTGTCTATGGGTCTCTGTGTGGTGAGTCTGTGGGTGTCTGTGTGGTGAGTCTATGGGTCTCTGTGTGGGGAGTCTATGGGTCTCTGTGTGGTGAGTCTATGGGTCTCTTTGTGGTGAGTCTATGGGTCTCTGTGTGGTGAGTCTATGGGTCTCTGTGTGGTGAGTCTATGGGTATCTGTGTGATGAGTCTATGGGTCTCTGTGTGTGTGTGAGTCTGTGGGTCTCTGTGTGGTGTGTCTATGGGTCTCTGTGTGTGTGGGAGTCTATGGGTCTCTGTGTGAGTCTATGGGTGTCTGTGTGGTGAGTCTATGGGTCTCTGTGTGTGTGTGAGTCTATGGGTCTCTGTGTGAGTCTATGGGTCTCTGTGGTGAGTCTATAGGTCCCTGTGTGGTGAGTCTATGGGTCTCTGTGTGTGTGAGTCTATGGGTCTCTGTGTGAATCTATGGGTCTCTGTGTGGTGAGTCTATGGGTATCTGTGTGGTGAGTCTATGGGTATCTGTGTGATGAGTCTATGGGTCTCTGTGTGTGTGTGAGTCTGTGGGTCTCTGTGTGGTGTGTCTATGGGTCTCTGTGTGTGTGGGAGTCTATGGGTCTCTGTGTGAGTCTATGGGTGTCTGTGTGGTGAGTCTATGGGTCTCTGTGTGTGTGTGAGTCTATGGGTCTCTGTGTGAGTCTATGGGTCTCTGTGGTGAGTCTATGGGTCTCTGTGTGTGTGTGAGTCTATGGGTCTCTGTGTGAGTCTATGGGTCTCTGTGGTGAGTCTATAGGTCCCTGTGTGGTGAGTCTATGGGTATCTGTGTGGTGAGTCTATGGGTCTCTGTGTGGTGAGTCTATGGGTCTCTGTGTGGTGAGTCTGTGGGTCTCTGTGTGGTGAGTCTATGGGTCTCTGTGTGTGTGTGAGTCTATGGGTCTCTGTGTGAGTCTATGGGTCTCTGTGTGGTGAGTCTATGGGTCTCTGTGTAGTGAGTCTGTGGGTCTGTGTGGTGTGTCTATGGGTCTCTGTGTGTGTGTGAGTCTATGGGTTTCTGTGTGAGTCTATGGGTCTCTGTGTGGTGAGTCTATGGGTCTCTGTGTGTGTGTGAGTCTATGGGTCTCTGTGTGAGTCTATGGGTCTCTGTGGTGAGTCTATAGGTCCCTGTGTGGTGAGTCTATGGGTATCTGTGTGGTGAGTCTATGAGTGTCTGTGTGGTGAGTCTATGGGTCTCTGTGTGGTGAGTCTATGGGTCTCTGTGTGGTGAGTCTATGGGTCTCTGTGTGGTGAGTCTATGGGTCTCTGTGTGGTGAGTCTGTGGGTCTCCGTGTGATGAGTCTATGGGTCTCTGTGTGGTGAGTCTATGGGTCTCTGTGTGGTGAGTCTATGGGTCTCTGTGTGGTGAGTCTATGGGTGTCTATGTGAGTCTGTGGGTCTCTGTGTGGTGAGTCTGTGGGCCTCTGTGTGGTGAGTCTGTGGGTCTCCGTGTGGTGAGTCTATGGGTCTCTGTGAGTTTATGGTTTTTAGGCATCTCTATGGATCTCTAATCTCCTCGTCATGATGACATCAGCCCACGTGGTGGAGCTGCTATCGTGTTGTGATGGCCAGGCTGTAGCGTCCGTCTCAACAAAGATCCACACAGCAGGAGCTTAGTGGGGACCTTACACAGCTGGTGACATGAACAGAGTTTAGTCTGTGGATCTCCATGTATCTCTGTGGGTCTCTACGTATCTCTATGGGTCTCTATGTATCTCTATGAGTCTCTATGTATCTCTATGGGTCTCTATGTATCTCTGTGGGTCTCTATGTATCTCTGTGGGTCTCTATGTATCTCTGTGGGTCTCTGTATCTCTATGGGTCTCTATGTATCTCTGTGGGACTCTATGTATCTCTGTGGGTCTCTATGTATCTCTGTGGGTCTCTATGTATCTCTGTGGGTCTCTATGTATCTCTATGTGTCTCTATGGGTCTGTATGGGTCTCTATGTATCTCTGTGGGTCTATGTATCTCTGTGGGTCTCTATGTATCTCTGTGGGTCTCTATGTATCTCTGTGGGTCTCTATGTATCTCTGTGGGTCTCTGTGTATCTCTGTGGCTCTCTGTGTATCTCTGTGGGTCTCTATGTATCTCTGTGGGTCTCTATGTATCTCTGTTGGTCTCTGTGTATCTCTGTGGGTCTCTATGTATCTCTGTGGGTCTCTATGTATCTCTGTGGGTCTCTGTATCTCTGTGGGTCTCTATGTATCTCTGTGGGTCTCTATGTATCTCTGTGGGTCTCTATGTATCTCTGTGGGTCTCTGTGTATCTCTGTGGGTCTGTGTATCTCTGTGGGTCTCTATGTATCTCTGTGGGTCTCTATGTATCTCTATGAGTCTCTATGTATCTATGTGGGTCTCTATGTATCTCTGTGGGTCTCTGCATATCTCTGTGGGTCTCTATGTATCTCTGTGGGTCTCTATGTATCTCTGTGGGTCTCTATGTATCTCTGTGGGTCTCTATGTATCTCGGTTGGTCACTATGTATCTCTGTGGGTCTCTATGTATCTCTGTGGGTCTCTATGTATCTCTGTGGGTCTCTATGTATCTCTGTGGGTCTCTACGTATCTCTATGGGTCTCTATGGGTCTCTATGTATCTCTATGTATCTCTATGTATCGCTGTGGGTCTCTATGTATCTCTGTGGGTCTCTATGTATCTCTGTGGGTCTCTGTGTATCTCTGTGGGTCTCTGTGTATCTCTGTGGGTCTCTATGTATCTCTGTGGGTCTCTATGATTCTCTGGCGCGTCTCTGTGTATCTCTGTGGGTCTCTATGTATCTCTGTGGGTCTCTATGTATCTCTGTGGGTCTCTGTGTATCTCTGTGGGTCTCTGTGTATCTCTGTGGGTCTCTATGTATCTCTGTGGGTCTCTATGTATCTCTGTGAGTCTCTATGTATCTCTGTGGGTCTCTGTGTATCTCTATGGGTCTCTATGTATATCTGTGGGTCTCTATGAGTATGGGTCTCTATGGGTCTATGGGTCTCTGTGGGTCTCTGTGGGTCTCTATGTGTCTCTGTGGGTCTATGGGTCTCTATGTATCTTTATGTATCTCTATGGGTCTCTATGGGTCTCTATGTATCTCTATGGGTCTCTATGTATCTCTATGCGTCTCTATGTATCTCTATGGGTGTCTATGTGTATCTATGTATCTCTATGGGTCCCTATGAATCTCTGTGGGTCTCTATGTATCTCTGTGGGTCTCTATGTATCTCGGTGGGTCTCTATGTATCTCGGTGGGTCACTACCACTGACACCACCACCACTACTACACCACCACTACTTCCACCACTAAAACCACCACTACCACTGATACCACCACCACTACACCACCACAACAACCACTTTCCACACCACCACTACAACAACCACCACCACTACAACAACCACTACCACTGACACCACCACTACAACAACCACTACCACTGACACCACCACTACAACAACCACTACCAATGACACCACCACAACAACAACCACTACCACCACCACGACTGCAACAACCACTACCATTGACACCACCACCACAACCACCACCACTGACACCACCACCACAACAACCACTACCATTGACATCACCACCACAACAACCACTACCACCACAACAACTACTACCACTGACACCACCACCACAACAACCACTACCACTACAACAACCACCACCACCATTGACACTACCACCACCACAACAACCACATCCACTGACACCACCACAACAACCACCACCACCACCACACCACCACTATCACCACCACTACAACAACCACGACCACTGACACCACCACTACAACAACCACCACTACAACAACCACTACCACTGACACCACCACTACTACACCACCACTACAACAACCACCACCACTGACACCACCACTACAACAACCACCACTACCACTTCACCACCACCACCACTACATCACCACTACCACTGACACCACCACCACTACCACTACCACACCACTACAACAACCACTACCACCACAACAACAACTACTACCACTGACACCACCACAACAACAACCACTACCACAACAACAACAACTACCACCCCCACTACCACTGACACCACCACCACAACAACCACTACCACCACCACAACAACTACTACCACCACCACAACAACAACCATTGACACCACCACCACAACAACCACTATCACCACCACAACAACAACCACTACCACTGACACCACCACCACCACAACCACTACCACCACCACCACAACCACTACCACCACAACAACAACCACTACCACCACAACAACAACAACTACCACCCCCACTACCACTACCACTGACACCACCACCACCACAACAACCACTACCACCACCACAACAACCACTACCACCACAACAACAACCGCTACCACTGACACCACCACAACAACCACTACCGCCACCACCACAACAACCACTACCGCCACCACTACAACAACTACACCACTACAACAACCACCACCACTACAACAACAACTACCACGCCCACTACCACTACTACTGACACCACTACAACAACCACCACCACTGACACCACCACTACAACAACCACTACCACCACCACTACAACTGACACCACCACAACAACCACTAACACCACCACCACCACAACAACCACTACTACACCACCACAACAACCACTACTACACCACTACAACAACCACCACCACTACAACCACTACCACCACTACCACTGACACCACCACAACAACAACCGCCAATAAGTGTCGCTTGTGCCAGGCCACGACTGAAATATGCAACCACAACAACAACCACTACCACACCACCACTATCACAACCACTACCATTGACACCACCACCACTACTACAACAACCACTACCACACCACCACTACTACACCACCACCACCACAACTACCACACCACTACAACAACCACTACCATTGACACCACCACTACAACAGCCACTACCACTGACACCACCACCACTACTACACCACCACCACAACAACCACTACCATTGACACCACCACTACTACACCACCACCACAACAACCACTACCACATCACCACTACTACACCAAAACAACAACCACTACCGCCACAACAACCACTACCACTGACACCACCACCACTACTACTACACCACCACCACTACAACAACCACTACCACTGACACCACCACCACTACCACCACAACAACCACTACCATTGACACCGCCACCACTACAACAACCACTACCGCTGACACCACCACCACAACACCACCACTACAACCACCACTACCGCTGACACCACCACCACTACACCACCACTACAACCACCACTACCACTGACACCACCACCACTACAACCACTACCATTGACACCGCCACCACTACAACAACCACTACCGCTGACACCACCACCACAACACCACCACTACAACCACCACTACCGCTGACACCACCACCACTACACCACCACTACAACCACCACTACCACTGACACCACCACAACAACCACTGACACCACCACCACAACAACCACTACCATTGACACCACCACCACAACAACCACTACCACTGACACCACCACAACAACCACTACACCACCACCACAACAACCACTACAACCACCACTACACTGACACCACCACACCACCACCACAACGACCACTACCACTGACACAACCACCACCACTACAACAACCACTACCACCACCACCACTACCACTGACACCACCACAACAACCACTACCATTTACACCACTCCACTACACCACCACTACAACAACCACCACCACTACAACCACTAGCACAACAACCACGACCAATGACACCACCACTACTACACCACCACCACGACAACCACTACCACATCACCACTACTACACCAAAACAACAACCACTACCGCCACAACAACCACTACCACTGACACCACCACCACCACTACAACAACCACTACCACTGACACCACCACCACTACTACTACACCACCACCACTACAACAACCACTACCACTGACACCACCACCACTACACCACTACCACCACAACAACCACTACCATTGACACCGCCACCACTACAACAACCACTACCACTGACACCACCACCACAACACCACCACTATAACCACCACTACCACTGACACCACCACCACAACAACCACTGACACCACCACCACCACCACCACAACAACCACTACCACTGACACCACCACCACAACAACCACTACCACTGACACCACCACCACTACAACCACTACCACTGACACCACCACCACTACACCACCACTACAACCACTACCATTGACACCACCACCACTACAACAACCACTACCACTGACACCACCACCACTACACCACCACTACCACTGACACCACCACCACAACAACCACTACACCACCACTACAACAACCACTACCACTGACACTACCACCACTACACCACCACTACAACCACCACTACCACTGACACCACCACACCACCACCACAACAACCACTACCACTGACACAACCACCACCACTACAACAACCACTACCACAACAACCACGACCATTGACACCACCACCACAACCACCACCACAACCACTACCATTGACACCACCACTACCACTGACACCACCACAACAACCACTACCACACCACTACTACACCACCACCATCACTACCATTAACACCACCACCACTACACTACCACCACAACCACCACAGACACCACAACAACCACCACCACAACAACCACTACCACCACAACTACCACCGCCACCACAACTACCACCACCACCACCACTACCACCACTACCACCACAACAACCACCACCACAACAACCACCACCACCATCACTACCACCACCACCATCACTACCACCACCACTACTACCACCACCACTAGTACCACCACCACTATCACCACCACAACAACTACCACCACTAACACCACCATCACTACCACCACCACAACAACCACTACCACCACAACCACTACTACCACCACTACCACCACCACAACAACCACCACTACCACCACCACTACTACCACCACTACTACCACCACCACTATCACCACCACCACAACAACCACCACCACAACAACAACCACCACAACAACCACCACAACAACAACCACCACCACAACAACCACCACCACAACAACTACCACCACCACCACTACCACCACCACCACCACAACAACCACCACCACAACAACTACCACCACCACCACTACCACCACCACTACTACCACCACAACAACAACCACCGCTACCACCACCACAACAACAACCACCACCACCACTACCACCACCACAACAACCACCACCACCACAACAACTACCACCACCACAACCACTACCACCACCACCACTACTACCACCACCACAACAACCACCACCACCACCACAACCACCACCACCACAACAACAACCACCACTACTACCACCACAACAACAATCACTACAACCACCACCACAACAACCACCACAACAACTACCACCACTACTACCACCACAACAACAACCACCACTACTACCACCACAACAACTACCACCACCACAACCACCACCACAACAACCACCACCACCACAACAACCACCACTACCACCACAACAACAACCACCACTACCACCACTACCACCACCGCTACCACCACCGCTACCACCACCACAACCACCACCACCGCTATCTCGCTCACCCCGGCATCCAATAGTGGATAGGCCCTGGACAGACGCCGCTGAATTCCCTAGAACGCATGGGCAAGGCCGACCCCACATGTTGGGGGAGAGGGGGGGGTGGTCAATGCCTACCTCGCCATTGGTCGGCCACGTCGCGTGTCACCCCGGCTGGGGGCAACCCGAATGGTCGACGCGGCGAGGGGGGGGGGGAGGAGCCCCCCGCAGCCAATCAGGAGTCGGCGCCGCCTATCGTGACTACGATTTCAAATCCCATTCCTTCGCGAACACTGGGGAAATATTTAGTTAATTTTGACGTAATTTTTTTTAAATTAACAAATAAATCGATGTTGCCGCGCTACAAGTATAACGCGCGCGGTTCGTTGAGAGCTGTAAAATTTTGTTTGAAACTTTATTCGAAATTTAAACAAACAAAAAGAGAAATTCCTGAGGGGGAGCGCACACCGAAGACGCCGCCGCCCTCCCGCCAAATTATTTTTTTCAGATTCCAGGCCCAGCTCAGGCCTCGGACGCGGCCCTCCGCTGCGATTGGACGACTGCGCTGTGACGTCTCGGCTAGGGGGCGGGGTCGGCGGATCCGAATGGATCGAGCCAATCGGAGGGCGGCATTGGCGCCGGAAGCCCCCCCCCGCAAACCACGCCCTTCGCCACGCGCCCCTTCATCCTCTACGCCTCGCCCCCTTTACCTTGACCTCTCGGCAGCCACGCCCCCTCTTTGCCCCGCCCCCTAATTATTCATGAGGGGGCGGAGCAAGAGGATGGGTTATGTTGCATTACTGTTATGAATAACAAACATATTAAATTTTGATTTAAAGCTTTCGTGACTGCAGTAATTAATATTTTTAGCTCTTTCAGTAAAGTCACGTTGAAGGGAAACAATAAAATAATAAAATATATTTTTATTGTTTTATATATATTTTTTATTATTTAATTGTTTCCCTTCAACGTGACTTTACCAAAAGAGCTATGAATAATAACAAACACATTCTCCCGCGGAGGGAGCTGGTCGGAACGTCGGATTGCTCGGTCAATGGCCAGGGTCAACAACAACAACAACGGCAGTGGCACCACGTGGTGTGTTCCGTACAATATGCCCGACTGTGAGGGCGGGGCACAAGTCTGGCGTGAGTCGGTGAAACGTTGAGTTTTATAAGGGGGGGGGGGCACCACGGGGTGACCAGCCCCTCCCTCCCACCCAGCCCCACCCAGCCCCTCCCCACCCAGCCCCACCCCACTCAGCCCCTCACAACCCAGCCCCACCCCACCCAGCCCCACCCCACCCAGCCCCTCCCCACCCAGCCCCACCCTACTCAGCCCCACCCCTCCCACCCCCCACCCAGCCCCTCCCCACCCAGCCCCTCCCCACCCAGCCCCTCCCCACCCAGCCCCACTCCACCCAGCCCCTCCCCACTCAGCCCCACCACACCCAGCCCCACCCCACCCAGCCCCTCCCCACCCAGCCCCACCCTACTCAGCCCCACCCCTCCCACCCCCCACCCAGCCCCTCCCCACCCAGCCCCTCCCCACCCAGCCCCACTCCACCCAGCCCCACCACACCCAGCCCCACCCCACCCAGCCCCTCCCCACCCAGCCCCACCCTACTCAGCCCCACCCCTCCCACCCAGCCCCTCCCCACCCAGCCCCTCCCCACCCAGCCCCACCCCACCCAGCCCCACCCCACCCAGCCTCTCCCCACCCACCCCACCCTCCCCACCCAGCCCCTCCCTCCCCACCCTCCCCTCCCCACCCACCCCACCCAGCCCCTCCCCACCAAGCCCCACCCCACCCAGCCCCACCCCACTCAGCCCCACCCAACACAGCCCCACCCCACTCAGCCAAACCCCTCCCACCCCCCACCCAGCCCCTCCCCACCCTCCCCACCCAGCCCCTCCCACCCAGCCCCTCCCCACCCTCCCCACCCAGCCCCTCCCCTCCCACCCCCCACCCAGCCCCACCCCACCCAGCCCCCACCACTCCCATATTGTGGATGCACGATGGACGGACGGACGGACACAACAATCCCCTTGTGGGCTGGTGTAGTAACCAGGAGGTTCCTACACAGTACAACTATACACAAACATCATATATATAGATAAAACATATGACATGCGTAACAATAACACACGTAACAAACGTACTTAACTATAACATGTGCAATGTGGCTCGAAGAGACACCCACCCTGTTCTTTGCGTATATTTGTCACGAACAAAGTCCGCTGACAACTTATAGAGTAACCCGTGAAGTGACTCCACACAATCTTGATTCGAAGTCTTCGCTAAGAGCAGGAATCCACGTCCGTTTGGTTCTTCCGGTGAAGTCGCGTGGCAAGGCGGAGCGAGAGATCTCGACGTTTCGATGGCAACGCAAGTAAGTCGTCATCAAGTGTGACAGCCACAGCAATCGTCATCAGGTGTGACAACCACAGCAATCGTCATCAGGTGTGACAACCACAGCCATCGTCATCAGGACAACCATAGCCATCGTCATCAGGTGGGACAACCACAGCAGTCGTCATCAGGACAACCACAGCAATCGTCATCAGGTGTGACAACCACAGCAATTGTCATCAGGTGTGACAACCACAGCAATCGTCATCAGGACAACCACAACAATCGTCATCAGGTGTGACAACCACAGCAATTGTCATCAGGTGTGACAACCACAGCAATCGTCATCAGGACAACCACAACAATCGTCATCAGGTGTGACAACCACAGCAATTGTCATCAGGTGTGACAACCACAGCCATCGTCACCAGGTGTGACAACCACAGCAATTGTCATCAGGTGTGACAACCACAGCAATCGTCATCAGGTGTGACAACCACAGCAATCGTCATCAGGACAACCACAACAATCGTCATCAGGTGTGACAACCACAGCAGTCGTCATCAGGTGTGACAACCACAGCCATCGTCATCAGGTGTGACAACCACAGCCATCGTCATCAGGTGTGACAACCACAGCAGTCGTCATCAGGTGGGACAACCACAGCAATCGTCATCACGTGGGACAGCCACAGCCATCGTCATCAGGACAACCACAGCAATCGTCATCAGGTGTGACAACCACAGCAATCGTCATCAGGTGGGACAGCCACAGCCATCGTCATCAGGTGTGACAACCACAGCCATCGTCATCAGGTGTGACAACCACAGCCATCGTCATCAGGACAACCACAGCAATCGTCATCAGGTGTGACAACCACAGCCATCGTCATCAGGTGTGACAACCACAGCAATCGTCATCAGGACAACCACAGCCGTCGTCATCAGGTGGGACAACCACAGCCATCGTCATCAGGTGTGACAACCACAGCCATCGTCATCAGGACAACCACAGCAATCGTCATGAGGTGTGACAACCACAGCCATCGTCATCAGGTGTGACAACCACAGCAATCGTCATGAGGTGTGACAACCACAGCCATCGTCATCAGGACAACCACAGCAATCGTCATCAGGACAACCACCGCCATTGTCATCAGGTGTGACAACCACAGCAATCGTCATTAGGTGTGACAACCACAGCAATCGTCATCAGGTGTGACAACCACAGCAATTGTCATCAGGTGTGACAACCACAGCCATCGTCATCAGGTGTGACAACCACAGCCATCGTCATCAGGTGTGACAACCACAACAATCGTCATCAGGTGTGACAACCACAGCCATCGTCATCAGGTGTGACAACCACAACAATCGTCATCAGGTGTGACAACCACAGCCATCGTCATCAGGACAACCACAGCCATCGTCATCAGGTGTGACAACCACAGCAATCGTCATCAGGTGTGACAACCACAGCAATCGTCATCAGGTGTGACAACCACAGCAGTCATCATCAGGTGTGACAACCACAGCCATCGTCATCAGGTGTGACAACCACAGCCATCGTCATCAGGTGTGACAACCACAGCCATCGTCATCAGGTGGGACAACCACAGCCATCGTCATCAGGTGTGACAATCACAGCCATCGTCATCAGGTGAGACAACCACAGCCATCGTCATCAGGTGTGACAACCACAGCAGTCGTCATCAGGTGTGACAACCACAACAATCGTCATCAGGACAACCACAGCCATCGTCATCAGGTGAGACAACCACAGCCATCGTCATCAGGTGTGACAACCACAGCCATCGTCATCAGGACAACCACAGCAATCGTCATCAGGTGGGACAACCACAGCCATCGTCATCAGGTGTGACAACCACAGCCATCGTCATCAGGTGAGACAACCACAGCCATCGTCATCAGGTGTGACAACCACAGCAGTCGTCATCAGGTGTGACAACCACAGCCATCGTCATCAGGTGAGACAACCACAGCCATCGTCATCAGGTGTGACAACCACAGCCATCGTCATCAGGACAACCACAGCAATCGTCATCAGGTGGGACAACCACAGCCATCGTCATCAGGTGTGACAACCACAGCCATCGTCATCAGGTGTGACAACCACAGCCATCGTCATCAGGTGAGACAACCACAGCCATCGTCATCAGGTGTGACAACCACAGCAGTCGTCATCAGGTGTGACAACCACAGCCATCGTCATCAGGTGAGACAACCACAGCCATCGTCATCAGGTGTGACAACCACAGCCATCGTCATCAGGACAACCACAGCCATCGTCATCAGGACAACCACAGCAATCGTCATCAGGTGTGACAACCACATCCATCGTCATCAGGTGTGACAACTACAGCCATCGTCATCAGGTGTGACAACCACAGCCATCGTCATCAGGTGTGACAACTACAGCCATCGTCATCAGGTGTGACAACCACAGCCATCGTCATCAGGTGTGACAACCACAGCCATCGTCATCAGGACAACCACAGCCATCGTCATCAGGTGTGACAACCACAGCCATCGTCATCAGGTGTGACAACCACAGCAGTCGTCATCAAGTGTGACAACCACAGCCATCGTCATCAGGTGTGACAACAACAACAATCGTCATCAGGACAACGACAGCAATCGTCATCAGGTGTGACAACCACAGCCATCGTCATCAGGACAACCACAGCCATCGTCATCAGGACAACCACAGCAGTCGTCATCAGGTGTGACAACCACAGCCATCGTCATCAGGACAACCACAGCAATCGTCATCAGGTGAGACAACCACATCCATCGTCATCAGGACAACCACAGCCATCGTCATCAGGTGAGACAACCACAGCCGTCGTCATCAGGTGTGACAACCACAGCCATCGTCATCAGGTGGGACAACCACAGCAGTTGTCATCAGGTGGGACAACCACAGCAGTCGTCATCAGGTGTGACAACCACAGCCATCGTCATCAGGTGGGACAACCACAGCAGTTGTCATCAGGTGGGACAACCACAGCAGTCGTCATCAGGTGTGACAACCACAGCAATCGTCATCAGGTGTGACAACCACAGCCATCGTCATCAGGTGTGACAACCACAGCAATCGTCATCAGGACAACCACAGCCATCGTCATCTGGTGTGACAACCACAGCCATCGTCATCAGGTGTGACAACCACAGCAATCGTCATCAGGTGAGACAACCACAGCAATCGTCATCAGGTGGGACAACCACAGCCATCGTCATCAGGTG